CAGCGATGATACTCTACATTCTTATGTTACGTACATCATGTGTGGTCCATATACTGATGCAGTTTATCTGCGCTATATGTAGGTCACCCGGTGTCGCTTGCGCATGACAAACGTGCCTGTTAACTTTGTTAATTATCAACAAACATACTTGCTCTATTTACTCAGTTAAACACTTAGCATGTGATATTTCTAAGATATTTTGCTATGCTTATTTTAGTCGTTCAATTTTTCATCGAGTCCAACTATAATTTATGTTAATTAAATTCAAGTTTCATCTAAGAGGGTGCACTCCAAAAATTATTAAGTTACAATTGGTTTTGTACAAGAAATAAAGTCCAGGTAAGCTGTTACAATATAAACAAATAAAAAATGAGAAAATTGCATCACCAAAATATCAAAAATGTATTCATAAATTTTCTCTATAGGAAAAATAATATTAACCTTTTTTTTAAATTTCTTCCCGTAGTCAGACTCTTTTATTACAGGAAAAATTGATAAATATGTGAGTTAATTTACAGCCGAGAACATTTATAATAATGGTAGTTAATTTCGCGTCAATGCGCACTAATATGAAGGAAAGTTAATAACATGAAAATAATCTGAAAGAAATTACAGCACCATCTCTACAAAAATGTTCATTGACTAAAAATAAACATCTGTTTTTTAAATATATTTATCTAAAATACAATTTTGTTTTTCTTTGCATGTATTTTAAGGATATACAGTTTTCATGCACTATTTGTACCTCCACTTTTGATTACTTTAATATAAATAAAAAAGAATATGAAATACCTATAAAACGTAATTTTTATCACATTTTATAAGTTGTGCGATCCGCGTCCCTTCCTATTTCTCTATCTTTAGCACATGTCGTGAATTTGATAAGTACTATCGGTCGTTAGTCCTAACTAATGCTGAATAAGAACGAAGTAGCAATACAACTTCTTTCTTTATTTAATTTAGTATTATTCATATTTAATTTTAAAGAACTCTCTTAAGTATTTTTTTTTTTATGTTTCATAATGTGCTCCGTGATTTTTCAATATGCCCGATAGTATTAATTTTTATATCGCATTAATAAAACAATTTATGATTATGAAATTTTGAAAATATCTGAATATGTCAGCTAGTTTTATGATTGTAATTAATATAAGGGTATACATATTTTCTAATGTAGCTCGGTGGCGTAATGGATAAGCGCCGCGGCCCGCATTCGTTGTCGTTAAGCAACTTTCGCAAGGGTCGGCCACGGGATGGGTGACCAAAAAATTATTATCTCGAGCTACTCCGTGCTTTGGAAGGCCCGTTAAGCCGTTGGTCCCGGCTGCATTTGCAGTCGTTAATACCCTCCAATCCGCATTGGGCCAGTGTGGTGGGTTATGGCCCATCCTCCTTAACCATCCATAAGGAAGGCCTGAGCCCCTGCAGTGGGGACGTAAAAGGGCTGATGGTGGTGGATATTTTCTAAAATATTTAATGTATTATTGTAACGAGTTGGTTCAAAATAAGATTTGGAAAACATCGCAAAATGTGAATCTGCTTTTATTTTATATAATTTATTGAAATCATTGGCGTATAAAAAATCTATTGCGAAACTGAAAATAATATTAACTAAAATAAATTAATGTTGAGATTGAAGATTACGTATTTTTTTCTATCTAACAATAAATAGCTTAGATAACACGCATTAAAGTTGAGGAGTGAGGGCTCGCTACGTCACAGTATTGTAGAAAATGTACAGAAGCGTGGCGTCAAGTGACATTTTAACTCAATGTATCGCCGTAATTTAATGATAACGAAAAAAATAAAAAAAGTGTTATTTTTTTTTCAACAAAAAAAAATTGCCGTCATCCCTATCATTGAGTTTTGCTTAATGTTTATATTATTTAAGTAATAATACAAGTAAACATACAATAGTGAATAGATATGTGTAACAGTAAGACATAATTTCAGTAAATTGTAAATCCAAAAAGTTTCTTTATACGTAAATGTGATTGCTTGCAAACTTTTTGGAAAAGTATATTACGATGACAAATTATTCCGCATAAAATATAGCGAAATGCTGAAGTAATATACTATAAAGAAATGTTTATTTAATAAATACCTATTATGTAATAACCCAATTACAGTTAAGACCTACGACACGCGCCCCTTCTTTCTTGCAACAGCTAAGTAGTTGATAAGCGTTATCAGCTAACAGTGGATATTCCGATTGCCACAACGTCTAGTGAACTATGTAATGTATTCTAAATTATCAAATTATTGTACCCCTTGTATATTGAGTACCATAAAAGACTTATAAATGTACGATCTTGTATTATAGGAATTGGGTAGGTTTTCTTTAAATATTGGTGCACAGCACAAATTAATTGGTGGTTCATGATGACTGACAGCCCCATTGGCCTCAATTTCTATTATTTGTCGATGATAATTTTCCTAAATTATTGTATAGGTACTATGAGATCATTTTCAATTTAAGTTTAGAACTGAAAACTCGTAATAATAATTAATACAAAGTAATGATATGAGTTCTACTCGCCACTCCAACTGCGAAAATGCAGAGTATACTGATATTTTCGAAAAATGATTTTATTTTATTTGAGTCGTCAGAATCGTGATGTTGCCTACAAGTGAAAATACAGTTTTCTGTTATATGTACGGAAAATACAGACTACTTTAACTTATAAATTATTAACAAAATAAGATTACACCAAATCCTACTTACCTATATACATTTCACGACATCGCACTTATATTGCAATATCAATTATTGATTTAGTTAATTTTTGTTAGAAAAACATGTTTGATTTGTTTAAACTAAGGTTCTGCTATTTCATAACAATTATTTTTTAACAATTCTTTGATTTAGGCAAATAAAAAGAGTATGACCCATGTTGTATGCATAAAAAAATATATTATAGTATTTTTAAAATAGTATTATCTACAATAAAAAATGCTTAAATTAACTACATCTGTTTTTCTGCCACTTCGCCCACGTAAATTATATAGCCTATGTCACCTGCATATAATGTAGCTTCCAGAAGGTGAAAGAAATTTCACACTCTGGGGACTGACTCTGTAAAAATCTGAACAAGAATTCGTATTCACTCGCTTGTCCTAATTCACGTCATTTAGTATATAAAGTCTTTTGATTCCATTTTTTGTATAAAAATATAAAGGAAATAAAGAAACTTATTTATTCAGTGACCATACAAGAAAACAAAAGACGAAAAAAATATAAAACTATAAAGACACTGAAAAGGCAGCCATTCAGCAAAACAAAATTGACTAATTATACGTGCCACAGTGATTCTACTCGTATTACTATGTCATTTCGAAACTCGCTTCACTTATGCCACCGAACATTTTTACCAATTCAAGGTTGAGCTGATGCCGCTTTTGAAGGGAAATCGGGCACCTGAGTGAAATCAACTTCGGATTTTTACAGAATCGTAAAGCTGATCAGTATTTCCGAAGATTACCTACCCCAATACTATATATAATTATATATAGTTTTGGGAATTAATTACACACGCGATGAAACCGTTTAAATTTTTTTATCAATTATGCATTCACAGATATTGAAAATACAACATACTGAACTGAAAAAATGAAAAATATTCTTAATGAAGTCTTTATTAATATTTTTCAGCGTGGATATTTTAATTATTTTTCATTAACAAAACGGTATTACCGCGACATTTTAAATAACTTAAGAATGTAACGTCTGTAACAACAAAATACATTAGTAAGCATTGCTGACCCTGAGGCTCTGGCCCTAATAACTCTTTGCATTGTAAATGTACTGTAATACCCATCCTAGCGGAACGCAGCGGTGAATGGAATTTCTTGGCAGAATCTTTATATCCCATAAATTGTTTGTTAGATTTAATTCCTCGACGGATCTCAGACTTTTAGGCGATGGATCTCAAGTGGAGTCTCAAATTTAAACTAAATTAGTTTTATGGGAATTATTAATATGGAATTCAGCGCATACTTTCTTTAAGCTAAACATTACCAATTAGCTTTCGCTTACTGCTTCGCCCGCGTGGTCCTAGAGAACTATTTACTGAGATAAAAAGTAGCCTATATGTTATTCCACGCTCAGAAGTTCATCAAAATCCGTCCATAATTTTTTTCATCGTCACAAACTTTCGCATCTATAACATTACACTAGGGAACCCAAAGGTTCCATTGACCATACTTTGACAAACGCTACTCTAAGTAATATTTTACAAAAAGGTCAGTTGTACAAACGTAAATTAAGGTTTAATGACGCCTTTAAGCTTTAATTAATGTCAAATTTGTATCCTTTTCCCTTCGGACCTTGATCGCGAGTAGACGTATTTTGGATACCTGTATAATAATAATTAATTCCTAAATTTAAAAGTTTAATATCAATTATGATAATAGGAGTGCATAAAACAAGAGAACTTTTAAATAGAAGAGGAGGATAGATCGAATTTGGCGTGTGCGGGGCGAAGAGGGTGTCGTGTGTGTACCTGCGTCGCACAACAAGTAAGAAAAAGATAGTTGTCTGCTCATCCAATTCAAATGTCTACGGACAATACTGTGACTATCTCACTTATACAATAATTACCTCCTTGCGTTTCTGTCGCCCTGGTACCTAGACTGAAGACTCTTGTGATGAAATACTAGAGGAATAATATCTTTGAAACGCAACTATATCAAGACAGTGAATTGGATTATTTTATTTTATATATATCAACTCAGAGTGTACTCCACATATTCAATGGCAGTCTCTTTGCGATCCTGCTGCCCTAGTACTTCGAGCTAAAATAAATATTATTAAAGAGAATACTAGTGCTACTTTTACAAAACTATTGTGGCCCTGATATCTTACTATTTGCAAACAGTCTCAAACGAGTCTAGTAAGGAACTTAGCCTCCATCAATTTAAACCTTCTACACAGCTCTGGGTGCCTAGTGGCATATATAAGAACTTACAGCTTCATAATAATTATTATTTAATCTGCTACTATGCCACTAAAACGAACTCCTCCTCCACCTGCTTCTCCTGCTCGCAGTGAGTCAGCGCCTGATCTGGCAGCTCCTATTTCGAGCCGAAAGGTACAGGCAGACGCTTTCAGACAGAGGCGACCGCGAGAAGAAATAACCTTAAATGATCTCATGGATAGCATGTCATTATGGAAGTCTGTGCTTGAGGATTTTAAGAACGACCAGGATCGTAGGTTGGATACTCTACAGGCATCTGTCGTTGACATTCGGAAGCAACATGAAGAAAAATGGGCTTCTTTACAGAGTTCAATCTCTGAATTAAGACAACAGAATGACGATATTCACTCATCCATAGAATTCCTCGCTAAACAAAATACTGAACTGAAAGATAAAGTTGTCGCTATGGAACGCGTACAGAAAGAAAATAAAGATTATATTAGAGATTTAGAAGAAAAAATAGAGACACTAGAGAGAGAAAATAGGTCATCCACCTTAGAAATCCGTAACATTCCAGTAACAAAGTCTGAAACAAAAGATGACCTTCTGAATATATTTCATAAGGTTGCAAATGCTTTAAACGTAAATGTCTCAGTCTCTGATGTAAACGATATCTACAGGGTCAGCACTAAGTCAGTCACCAACAAGCCTATTGTTTGCAAATTACAAAGTGCACTTTTGAGAGAAAGATTATTGAAGTCTGTCAAAGATTTCAACAAAGCGCATAAAGAAAATCGATTCAGCACTGAACACATCCACATGCCCGGAGTTCCTCAACCCATCTTTATCGCGGAAAACTTAACACCTAAGATGAGAAGACTGTATTTCCTTGCGAGGAGTTTTGCTGGTACAAACGATTATTCGTTCTGTTGGCTCTCTCGTGGAAGAATATATCTAAGAAAAAGAGAAGGTCATAAAACTTTTAATATTAACTCTGAAACAGACTTGATAAGGCTTGAACACAACAAATGACTAGATTCATCTAAATTGCTCCTCATGATTTTAATTTTAGGTTTTGTTATACTTTATGTTAAATCATACACACTATACATTTTTTCTACACTCACTATTTACAAATTACAATTCCACACGCAATCATTCTGTAATCTCTTTGCAACTATTATAGATGTTAATTATATACTCTATTCAATGTACACATATATCACCTGCAATGTTCGAATGAGAATATGTACCGAATTCTGCACATTTTAGAAACTAAATGCTTCAGGAGGCTTACGATATCGAATAATAATTTAAAGGTAAATTTTAAAATTTTCAACTGCAATAATGTTCGATTCTTATTTCTTGGCCGTGATTATTTTGTCCTTTGTGTTTTGAATAAATGCTTTTCTGTCATTGATTTGAATTCTATAAGTAAAGACATAAAGGACATAAATACTAAATTTGAACTGGTATTATCAAATCAAATCTGCTGGTTATAACTTTGGTCATCTAACTATGAAATCATTTATACTTAACCTTCCAAACGATTTCGAGTCCTTATTATTATTTTTAACTATAATGGTTAATATTGACAGTTTGAATATCATTTCTGAAATCGAACAAATCCAAGTGTCCGAGTCCCAATATTGCTCACCTAATTACTGTGGAAAGCTTATATCGGATGCAAGTAATACTTTTAAAGTACTACATGTTAACATTAGAAGTATAAATTGTAACTTCCCTTTACTTCTCCCTTTACTAAACAGCATGAGTATTTCTTGTGATGTTATTATTTTATCTGAGTGCTGGCTCAGTCAATGCTCTTTTCTTCCTACCCTACCAGGGTACAGCTCATGTAAATCCAACTACAAAAATCAAAATGACGGTGTCGTAGCTTATATACGAAATGACGTATCTTTTTCATTTGAAGTCCCTGAATTTAATGAGGCAAGCTGTCTCTTACTAAAATTTTCAAGTACACTTGCAATAATTGCTCTCTATCGTTCACCATCTTACAAAAAAATAGATAACTTTATAAATTCTCTTGAGATTGTATTACAATCGTTAAAATCATTCCGTAATGTAGCCGTCATTGGGGATATTAATATAAATATTGTACCAGATAGTCAAGATCCAAACAGTGACCACTACTTAAATGTAGTTGCCTCCCATGCTATGCTGCCGGCTCATGTTCTTCCCACCAGAAACCTCAGTTGCCTGGATCACGTGATCCTCAAGACAACATCTAGAGCTACTACTTTAGTATTTGATTCGTACATCACAGATCATGCACCAGTACTATTATGTTGTAATTTTAAATAAAAAAATAAAAATGTAAAACATTCGTATGTGAAACTGGATGTAGAAGCATGTACCCAAGAGCTAGAAACGACTGATTATTCTAATATTCTTTTATGCAATGATGCCGACAACGCGACTGATTTACTGGTTGACACAATTTCTAATGTTGTGAAAACCCATTCACATAGAATATATGTTCCAAGCAGAAAAAGAATAATTAAACCATGGGTCACACCAGGTTTATTAAAATGTTTACGTAATCGTGACAGATTATTTCGTAAATCAAAAAAAGAACCCAATAACGACATTTTGATTTTAACCTATAAAAGGTATAGAAATTTTATAAATAACTTAATTAAAAAAGTTAAGCGAGAATATGAAAGAGCTGAACTTGCTAAAGCAAATAAAGACTCGAAAAGCACATGGAAACTTATAAAAAAATTTGGTAATCTATCTGACACACTAAATTCGGCAAGTAAACTTATTCCTGATTCTATCGAGTCATCATCTGCTATTGACAGAGTCAACCATTTTTTTGCAAATATTGGACGTGAACTGGCCTGTAAGATAGTTAGCGCATCGAGTCCCAATCCGTCGACAACTAATCCAAATGATTTTATAAAAAAAAATTCTCCCATCAGTTCCATGTGTCTACTTGCCACCGACAATAAAGAAATTAGTTGCATCATTGATAACCTAAAAAATACGTCAGCTACTGGTTGGGATGGCATACCCACTGTAGTGATTAAGTCGGCTAAAAGGACATTGACTCCAATACTTGTATATCTTTTTAACTTATGTTTATCTACGGGTGTTTTTCCTAGATCATTTAAGAAGGCTCAGGTGCATCCTACATATAAAAATGGTGACGAGAGCAGTGTCAACAATTATAGACCTATATCCGTTTTAACTACGCTATCCAAAATCCTTGAAAAGATCTTAAATTGTAGGCTCCTCGGTTATCTCGATACCAATAATATAATTGCGGATAACCAATATGGCTTCCGTCGAGGAAAGTCCACTGAAGATGCCTTGCTTGATCTGACAGGAGCAGTAATAAAAAACTTTAACTCAAAACTTCAAACTATTGGGCTTTTTCTAGATCTTTCTAAGGCCTTTGACACAGTTTCCGTCCCGCTCCTATTGAACAAGCTGTCGGAGATTGGGATCAGGGGTGTGGTTCACAAAATTTTCGAGAGCTACCTTAGTAACCGCCGTCAATGTGTTAAAATAGATGACATCGTTAGCCATGATGAGAATCTCCATTTCGGTGTCCCTCAGGGAAGCGTCTTAGGACCTACCCTTTTCAATATATATATAAATGAACTTTGCAAACTCACTCTGCCAAACTGTAGAATTTTAATATATGCAGATGATACTGCTTTACTAGTGCATGGTACAGATTGGTTAAATGTTCATGCTAATGCGGAATTCGCTCTGCATATTGTTATGAAATGGCTATCCCTAAATTTATTAACATTAAATCTAACGAAAACTAACTTCATAACTTTTTCCCCTGCTAGAGTGTCTTTACCATCCTTCCCGTTCCATATCTTTGCTCATAAGTCTCCTCCACAAACATGTATAAATTGTGAATGTACTCAAATTACACATGTAACCCAGATTAGATATTTGGGAGTACACGTGGATGGTCTGTTGACATGGAAGGTACATATAAAAAACACGGTTGGTCGTATCAGAAAACTTATTTACGTCTTCAAAAACCTCAGACATGTAGCTGATTATGATACATTAAAAACAGTCTACTATGCATTGGGACAATCTGTTCTTTCATATTGTATCTCCGTCTGGGGAAGCTCAGGAAAAACAGAACTTTTGCGACTAGAAAGAGCTCAAAGAGCGGTGCTTAAGGTTATTATCGGCAAACCAGCTTATTTCCCCACTATTGAGTTGTATGCTCTTACTGACGTTTTAACAGTGCGTCAGATTTATCTCCTGCAAATTATTTTACGGCAACACGCTCAACTCCCATTTCCAACTATAAGTGATAAGCCTTACCCCTGTAAAAGCAAACGTAGACCAGTCTTGCCATGTAAAATCGAGATGTGTAGGTTATCTGTATCTGCTAAACATTTTAACTTCTTGGCTCCAAAATTATACAACAAAATTAATAACTTGATAAAATTACATCCTCTCACTTCGCGAGAATGCAAAACTCGATTGGTACAGTGGCTAAAAACATTATCCTACAGTGATACTGAGGACTTGTTAAAGAGTTGTATGTAAACAGACATATAGTGATTCATCGCAGTTTGTATAAAAGAAATACACAAAAACATAACATATAATACAAATACACACAAACTTACACTCATATACACATACTCATACTTTCATATACACTAACATTCTACACACACAGTAGTAATGATAAGAATGCATGCTATTTAATTTAATTCTAAACTTGAATTATATAAATACGTCGAGTGGAACGTTGTTCTTTATACAATGAAGGTGGGCGTTTGTGGCTGCAACTCAGTTTTTAAACTAAAGCGGCTGCTTTCGTACACGATAATATCTGTAAAGTGTAAAGTTCCAATAAAAAATATTATTATTATTATGGGTAGTGTCGCTTTAAACTAATGAGAATTTTAATGGACGTTTGTGCAACTGGCTGGCAATGCGCTAAACGACCATCTTGATATATCATCAATTATCTTTGCCTGAGAGAATAGAAACCAAACAGTCGAGATATCCTGCTATGCTGCTCTATAATAATATCAGCCTCGAACAAAACGAATATAAAACTTCAATGGTGTAATAAAACCTTCATATCGTATAGTAATACAAAAATTGTTTCACCAATCAACATCAAAATCATTTAAAAAAAAAACTCTCTTACTTTTAAGGGTAGGAATTATTATATCGAACTTCTATGTGATGCACGACAGCGATATAGTCAACGTCGAGTTGATATACGAGAGTCCTTTTGATGAATTTGTATACCGGATAATGGTACGAAAGCTGATCCACTAATTAACATCAGAAAAAAAAATCATTTTACAACGAAAAAATTTGTGCAAAGCCCTTTTCGCAAATATTTTATTTTTACTAATCCTTTCATATATAAGACAAATCTTTATTTGCACTTATAATAATAAAAATAAACAATAAATTTTTGTAAAAAAATGTGCTTTTGTATCATTTTATCCAACAGGATAATATGATAGTAGCTTGGCTATATTTTATCAATTCTTAGGCTTCAAATTGGTAAAATATATGGCGAATGATGCAATATGCCAAATCTTTATATGCCAAGTGATATTTAAATGAATAACATGAATAATAATATATGTATGTTGTAAAATGAATTGGTCTGTTAAATATGATAATACCTGAGTCATGTATAGTCATTTGTGTACCTAAAGAGCAATTAATCATATTTATGCCAATCATTGGTTGTCAACCATCGATTGGCACCGAAATTATGACGATCTCCGTAGCCGAGTCGTTCGAGCGCCGATTACAAGGTTTCGCTATCTCTAAGGTCCCGGATAGCAAAAGGAAATTAACTATATATGTATAATATTGAATTGTAACCTCAACTTAAAATGGAATACTGATTTTATTTCTAGGTTATTTTTTATACAAAATTTGATATATTTTGAAATAACCCATGAGATTTCGTAAATTTCCTGGAATTAGGGATCATCCATAAATTACGTCACACGATTTTCATGATCTTTTGTCCCTCCTCCCGTCCTAGTCACAACTGGTCACATTTGTAAGACTCCCCCCTCCTAGTGTGATGTCACATCCCAGATAGCAATTTAAACTTGGCAACTTGCAGCAAGTTTACGTCAAACTTGGTAGTTTCAGGGTGACGAACTTGCACTACCTTTGATACGGTAATACGAGTAATGATAATTTTCCAAGGTTCTGACTCGAATACCCAGCAGGTACTCGGGTACTCGACTTGAATAATTCCAAAATGATTGCGATAGACTTTTAAATTACAAAATAGGGATGATGACTCAAAGAAAATCAAACTTGCCCCAAGTTTCCATGCTATCTGGGAAATTATCATTACTACCGTATCAAAGGTAGTGCAAGTTTGTCACCCTGAAACTAGAAAGTTTGATTTAAACTTGCTGAAAGTTGCCATGTTATCTAGGATATTTTGCAAAGTTTTTGTAATATAGGTTAAAGTTCGTGTTTTAACATTTAGATTATAATAGATTTTGAAATGTGACGTCACGAAATTTGTGACATAA